TAAACGTGTGTCAGGAGAATGAAGCATCATGAGACACATAAATCCACTTGTGCACACACAAGTATGTTATCTTTGATCTTGATGCTAATGCCAGACTGGGCTATTCTACTCACCTCCTTTATTCAACAAGTGAGGAAAAACAATGTAAACCTTTGCAGGTTGTGTTTTACTAGGGGCAAAACACAACCTGCTCAGTCCTGGCTTGGAAGCCCTGTCTATGGGAAACTTCCTCTCTGAATAGGGAAGGAGAAGGAACTTCTCCTCTTAAAAAAAAAAGCTGTTGCAAAAAACACCTCCCTAATGCTTCCTTCAAAAATTCAGTAGGAATTAAAATGAGTGGCTTCATTTTATTCCTCATTAAATCAGGTAACTTGGCTGGCAATACTTTTAGCTCATGAAGTAAAAAGTGACCTTTGCTCAGAAGTCCAGTGAAAAAGAAGGGGTAAGAAAGAAGGAGGGGTAGGGTAGGGTTTTAAAAAAACCAAGCCTAAACTCTGTGTAATAAGAACTTACCTTAGTCATTGAATAACTGAGGCAGTCAAACATGGATCTATAAGAATTGTGTGGATTCTGTAAACATCTAAGAACAAATGTGGTGCAACGTGCAGCATAACCAGATAGCAACATGAAGGGTGGCAAAGAGCTGGAAATATAGTTCTCCTGTACGGTTTTGTAATGTATTGTACCAGTGTTATTGAGAATTGTTCAGTGTTTTGTAGTTAAAAGAGTGCCCTTCCTTTTTTCCTGTTTAAATGCTTTCTTGCAGTTGGGAAGATGCAGAAGGCTCCATTTAACTTTAACTCTAAAAGTGATGGGTGTGTGGAGGATGGGGAAGGATGCTATTCAGCAGGCCATTGCAACCCTTCTTCAGTTTGTTGGAATCTGACAAATCCCCCTCCTGCTTTTGAGGAGCAGTGGGAAGCCACTGTATCCATAAAAGTGGCCATGAAAATATTGGAAGTTCCTTCCACATCGCTCTTTGTTTACTTTCTGGGTGTGGTTGGAAGCTCCTAAAATCCCTTTGATCAACTAAAGTGTGGTACATAAACATTTATGGACCAGAGTGCAGAGTACCTGTTCACCAGGCCTCCATACTACTGTTTGTGAACCACGGTTTCTAATCCCGCTACCAGCTCTGTCTTTATTTGGAAAAAGTAGCTGATCATGCTGTCTCTAACTGTCCTTGATTACTAGGCAACTCAAAACTAGAATGCCAGTGTAAGGCATCCTACTTACTGCTCAGTGTAGTACGTAATTAGTTCATGGCTTTGTGGGTTGGAATTAATTGAACATGTAAGAAAAGTATTTTATTACTTTCATATCTTTAGTTACATTTAACTATCTTTGTTGCAAAAAATCCTGAAATACACGTTCATTCTTCTCTTAACATACTGCCTATGGCTTTCATTTCATCATTTTGTGAAGACAGGGAGACACTGGGACTTCAGATGACTGAGTGCTTTATCACACTGTCATTATTGTAGCTGTAAGTTTGAAGTTACACCATCTCTTGTTCCTCAGCCACAAGGAAGAGATTTGAAATTGGAAACTGGAATTCTACATAAGAGCTGGAATTCAGATCTATCCATTCAAAACAAGCCAAGATTAGCTCCAGGGAAGCTTTCTTCTTATGCATACGGAAGATATGGGACCTGTTACTTGCATCAGGGCAACACTGCAAAGGCTAAAACCCCCATCCCCCATGCCAGCCTCAAGTCCAGCTTCACCACCACCTCCACTATTCCCTGCCTCATGTTTTTTAAAAAGGTTGCATGCTAAGGGTTGATTACATGACAAATGTCATATGTAGTTTGACCCTCAAGTTCATTTGTCTCATGTAGCTTTCATGTCAGCTTTGAAACCAGCTTGCATTTGATTGGCCTTATTAATTTTGAAATTACCTTGGGAATCAGTGGAATAGTTTAGTCCAACCTGATATTAATTTTAATAGGACTTTAGTTGGATCGGGCCCATTATCCACCATTTCACTCCCCTTGTTATGGCAGAAATATTCCGTTTGCTCAAGATTCAACTCATCTTGTTCTTAACTGATTTGTGGAATGAAATGAATGTTCCTGCCACAGTGGAGTAGTCTGTGAGATTGATACTGTAATCTTTGGTGACCTTCATTGAGATGGACAAGCATCGATCCTGAGCTCAGTCTCAGGCATTAGTGTTACAGTACTTAGTCCTTGTTTGTTTCTAATACAGTTTGCATAAGAGCAGCATACAGTGCTTTGAACAGTCAATCTTTGTACACAGTGCTCAGAACTCTTAAGAGGAGGAAATGCGTGTTTTAGTCTGAGGCTAAAGAAAACTGTCATTCTCAAATAAAATAAATGAAATTGTTATCTTCTACTTTTGTTGCTTGATATGTAGGGTAATAAACATTTAGCAAATGTGTGATCAAAGGCTCTTTGGCCTTAACTGACTTGTTACATTTGCATTTAATCCTGTGGCTTAAGTTGTTTAGGTCATATTTAAACCATAAAATGCTTTCCACATTTTAAAGCGTATGAGATTAATTTTAAGGCACACACAAAAAGGAATGCTTAAGTTTTATTTGGCTAATTTAGAAATAATTACAGCTTCTGGTATACCAACTTTTAAAAAGTATGTTTTGAGTTTTAAAAGAAACATTTGTCAGACTGTTGTTGTCTGCTCCTTTGCCAATAGTTTTAAGGGGCTTCTCAGCACGACACAAACAGTATACAGAAAGCAATTACTTTGGTCAGCTTTCTTCAGGACTGGGTGCTATAACTCTAGAAGGCACGATATTTTAAGACTCAGTGCTTAACTTGAAATGAAATGTCACTTTAGTGGTAATGTGCTTTTAAACAAAAAAAGTACAAGAGAATGTTTCCAAACACTTTGAAAAGTGGCTGAAAAGCCTTGATCTATTTCTCTGTCTGTGTGGGAGGGGAACCTACAGAATTTAATTGGATCTCTTTTCCTCCCACTCCATATGCAGGTCACACAGGGACATGGCCAAGCTATATCTTCTGCATCTAGTAAGGTGCACTGTACAGCCATGGTCAGGAATGGTATTGCTGGCTCTGCATATGGAGGTGGGGGAAGCATGTATGAGCCCTCCAGGCAAAACAATAACTGTGTGATTTGGTTGTGTCTGGTGGATTGTGCCTTTTATCATAATACGTTCTAATAGGAAACTTAATGGCTCCATGTTGACCAGAAGGGCAGTGGAATGAAATCAACCACAGATGAAATAGGCAGAAATATATTATTGGGTGTTTTTTTTAATAGATAGACCCTGAAAAAGTTCTGAGAAGAGCTCCATAATCACAAAGGGCTGTATCCAATACTGTTCACACATTGGCAGGACCTGCCAATTCCATAATGGGAACTGAGTAGCTTTTGAAGCGGCTGGACACTAGCAGAAACAATTGTTTATGGAACATCACAGGTCAGCAGAATTCTCTTGAAAGAGCTGTGTAGACCTGCCCCATTTGTGAAACAAGCATTTCTGCCCATTTCTGCGGTTTCTTTAGGAAGCACAAGGGCTTGTTGTGCTTCCGGTAGGTCCTCTGAATACAACAGGACCAGTGCGAGTGTAGCAGTAATATTGGAGACAGTCCAACACCCACAGAATTAGAATGACAGAACATTTAAAAGCGGTAATAAAAGCAAGGGTGGGCATTCTAGTCAGTTTTCTAACCCCTCCACACACAAGGAAAACACAATCTGTCCTAGGCAGTAATAGTGTGTTGTACTGTTTGGCTTTCCATATAGTCAGCTCTGAAATTTCCCTCTGTAGTTCTATAGCACACACCTGGGACTGGTGGTGAAGCATGGGGAGTAGGGCAGAAGTGCCATTTTGGGGGCTTCTAGTTGGGGACCAACCTTCACCAGGTTCCCCATCCCAAACAATCCCTTCAGATAAGGGGCAAGCCTGGGCCATTCTCACTAGCCCTCATATGATATTTTAATTATTATTTTAAGTCTCTGACTGTTTGCTTATCCAGTTCTTCTTTGAGCTCTCTGTGCATCACACATATGGGCTCTGCACCAGCATGGTGCCTGCAGTCGAAGATTTTCCCAGCTATTGCTGAATTGCATTGCTTAGCCCCAGTAAAACAGCCTGACACTTCAAAGACATCATTTGATTTACTCTTGTGAGATCCTAAATTACAAGAGCTCTTGGGACTAATATTACAATTTGCCTTTAGATGATGCAAACTGGGCTGCTAAGGGGCTTTTTACCTGCTACATATTCACAGTTAGAAAAATGTTCCCGTAATTTAGAATATCCTGTTGCTGGAGGTACTTGTAATAAACCAACAAGGTACTTCATAGAATGTATGGAAAGATACTGTCTTGCAGTGGCATGGTAACCATGTGTTTTGATGATAAGTAAAGCAAGGATCTCCCATTTTTTAAAAAAAACTTGTCTGTGTGTGTGGGTGGTGCATGCAAGCATGCATGCATATGCCTTTTATTTGCAAACTGAAGATAATGAATGCTTTACTTTCCCTTGTAATCCTTTGCTGTTTATTTATTTATTGGAAGCATTTTAATGCTGCTTCTCAGCCAGAAAGGCTCCTGAAAGTGGCTTACATCAAATCAGTCAAAGACATCTGTTGCCCACGAGCTTAGAATCTAAAATGGTACCACACGTGGGGAAAAAGGAAGAAGAATGGGGAGGGAAGAGGAAAACATTAATTCTTTCAGCATGGCTGACGGAAGAAAGCTCATCTCAGCCTGCTGGAGTGAGTGCTGCTGGTGGCAGTTGGGAAGGAGCTTTCAGCAGGGCTGATGCCATGGCCCTGTCCTTACTTTCATTCTCCTCTGCACAAACCAATCGAATATGTGTTGTTGCAAACACTCTATGTTGCACTGTGCCATTTGAAGGCAGACATCATGCCACTTCTTTGTGGCATTGAGCATCCATTTCACAAGGGGAGAGTTGACTTCTAACAAGCCATTCACTCACTGGCATTCTGTGTTTCTCCCTTCCTCACCCTTCTCCTGTTTCTATGCAGGTTCACCTTTTCTAGCCAGTGAAGATGGTGTTCTCGGGGGAGTGATAGTTCTTCGATCTTGTAGGTGCTCAGCAGAACCCAACTCTTCACAGGATAAGCAGTCCCTACTAGGTAAGCATTTGAAGAAAGCTCAGAACAAATACTACTTCATTCTGCTTCATTTTACTTGAATAGCTAATTCCCAAGAACTTGTTGTCATTAGGGGTTTATGTAACAAACACATTTTCTGAGAATTTAAAAACATAAGGAACAGGAGCAAGACTTTGAAGCCTATTAGTTAATCATAACCCTAAAGCTGCTGTTCCACAGTCACAATCTTACTAAGGTTGAAATTTGTCACCAAGATTTAGAGCTCTTCATACGAGCTAAAATGAGGATGGGAGAGAGTTGCTCACTGGCCACCTTTGGAAGTTTGGACATCATCATGCCTTCCTAGAGGCTTTTAAGTTGCCATCAGAGAACTCGGATCCTTCTCTGAAGACAAAGGGATGTCCTCCAGTCAGGCTGAATGTAAGTACTTCTCCTGACTCAGGGCACATTCACATGTAAAATTAAACCAGGAATTCCCAACATAGTACATAGAGAACCCTCCACTGGCACCCACAGAGCTTTTCCCTCCCTGTCCCCTTCAAAAAGAAAAAAAATTGAACAGACACATTAGAAAATGTCAGGACAATCTTTCACTCCTTTTCTAGTCTCTAGCTTTGCTCGTTGTTTTTCCTCATGGCCTGTTTCTCTTCCTCCTCCCTGCTCCGCTCCTTGCTGTATCTCTCCCCACTACCCACTTTTTCGCTTGCCTTTAACTAACCAGCCTTTACGTGATGGGCCACATCTACCATCACTTCCATTCTATGCTGGTGCCTACAGCAATTTCTCCAATTCCCACATGTGCCCACTTGAATTGCTACAATATATGAATCATTCACCATAACACATAACCTTAACCTTGAAGAGCATTCACAGTTGCATGCTCATGTTTCCTTTTACAGGAAAATGGTCATGTTAGGTAGTAGGGCGGGGATGGAGGGAGTTGCATGAAGGAAGATACTCCTAGTAAGTCCAAGAAATCAAAAAATAGGGTGAATAACTTACCGTTCATTTTAAGTTAAGATTACAGTTGTGTTCTGTTTTATTCTCCCAAGTTTTTAATAAAGAATTGTTATGTTCACATCCATAGTAGAGTTCCTGTGGAGTCATACAACTGAGAGCATGTGTGTGGGGTATATGTCAGCTCAGGATGGCAAAGCTAAGGTAAGTCACAAAGAATACCTTTTAAAATTGCAATAATTGTTAAAACAATTACCATTTCATCCCTGCCTCATTCAAAGGGCTGACCATACCTTTTTCTTATAGTAAAACAACAAAAAGGTTAGACAGCAGAATGATGAGTGGTTGAGGTTAGACTGTGCTTCCCATATCACACCAAACTTTGCCTAGGTCTGCCATCATGGCCAAGCTGTGGTTTGTTGAGCACAATTTGTGATCACAATATAGACTACAGGGTGCTCACAACTGGCAGCTGTTCTGTGGCCATGATATCTAATCCCATCTGGTCTCTGGTGTAACACAGTGGCAGTAAATAATGGAGAATGAGTAGAATCCTTTAGAAATATTTGCACTAAAAATATTTTGCAAAGATTTTGCTCTTGCTTCTAGGTCAGGTTGAAAATTAGTCCTCAGAACATTGGCCTCAGACAATGTTTTGAACCAGAGGGAAGAAATGGAATCAAAATGTAAGTACAGGTGAGGTAAAATGGAGGTCGAGGAAATGGTTGAGTTTGCAGGAACAGGGTGGTGGTAAAGATAAAATTAACCTAACTTTGAGAATGCCAAGTAGAAGAAGTTTGTCCACTGAATGGTTTAGATAAAAGTCAGGCACAGCAATGTTAGATATTCAGATTTGAACTGGGTGTGGTGGGGGTAGATACAGCTTTAAAGTTAGAGATTTTGTGGGGGTGGGTAGGATGAGCTTTTATTTGAGCTTTGTCTAATTACAAGGTGCAGTAGGACCAGTTTATTTATTATTATTACACTGTGTTTATACCCTGCCTCTCTTCCTCTTACAAGGAATACAAGGCATCTTACAACCTTCTCCTCCTCTCTATTTTATCCTCACAACAGCAACCCTGTGGGGCTGTTTAGGCTGAGAGTCTGTTTGGCCCGAAGTCATTCAGTTTCTGTGCTGATTGTTGACTAGAACCCACATCCCGGCCAGTACTCTAACCACTAGGCAACACTGACTGTTGATTTTCCATATTCCTTGTAGTCAGCATATTGGGAGAAGCAATGCTACTATTATATTGCTAAGCAAACTACATATTAGATTAGAAGTAATATAATCCTTATGCAATACTTGTATCCAGCTTGAAGGTAGTGAGGAGAGCTTGATGCCACTGAATACTTCAGTGTAATGCTGAGATCCTTTCCTACTTGCTGGTCTTTCATTGGACATCTGGTGCACATTGTTTTTATGCTGCTGGCAAACTCTCCAGCTGGCCATCTTGATTGGGCTGACGGACACAGCTGCTCTTCTTGGGTCACTTTTAAATTATGTTTCTGACCTTGCTTTAGGGAGAGCTCTCTCCTTTGAGTCCATGGCTGCAAATGTTTTTCTGAAAGTAACCACAAATGCTACAGCCACTCAATGCTAATGATCAAGAAAGAAGCTGCTCTTATAAAAGGTGGAATTCTTTATTTTTGGAAGTTGAGATCAATTTAAAGATGGCAAGTGGGATTCAAAATATAAAATATATCTTAAAACTTGAAAAAAAATGAAACATAGCAAATAAACACAATGTTCTTTGGGAAAGGAACAAGAACACCATGTTTCTTTATAGAATTTACTGCCCTACACAAATCAAGTAAGACAAGGTAGATGTTACACTTCAGAGAAAGAGAGTGCTAACCTAAGTAACTAGCAAATATTGCACCACTGTCTAATTTTGACTGTCTTTTAAGTTCCAGATCTTTCGATTTATAGGGGGTTGTATCCAAACTATACAAATTGTTGATTGAATTATTTTCTGGGTCATCTGAAGCATTAAAAGCATGTTGGAAACTAGATTTTGGGATGCCAATAGACAATGCTGTTGGGGACAAGGGTTATATTTCTGGCTCAGTCGAGGCGCTAAGTGCCAAAGGCAAAGGAACTGACTTTCAAAGCACTTTTGCAGTGACACTTAACCCCCATCAAGGCATGAAAGGATTTCAGAACAGTTTCCAATAAATGTTGGAGGGTATATTATGGGACATTTGTCCGTATATGCTAGTCATGTCCTTTGGTAGAGGCATTTTGGGACAAAATTTTCAAAGCAATTAACAATATGACCAAACAAAACATCACGGAGACTCCAGTCCTTGCAATTCTGGGCATTTTTCCAAAGGATTTACAGTCTATGCTGCATAAACACTTCACTTTATGTTCTTTAGCACCAGCAAGAACAACAGTTGCAGCCCAGTGGAAAAGTTCAGTGGCTGTTTCTGTCAAGGCTTGGTTTCAGAAACTTTAGGATCATTTACTAATGGGCAAGCTTACCCACCATAAAGGTCATGCTCAACTCTGAAACATTGTATACAGTGCAGTGCCCATTTTTGTGTGCATCTCGCTCACCAAGCCCAAGTCCCTCTGGACCTTTGTAAGATTTAGCTGACCTGCCAACAGAACATAATTTCAGCTTGCAGGGTTTGCAGTTCTGTACTCTATGCAACCTAAGTCGTTTGGGCTGTGCTTGTTTTCTTTAAGTTTTTCAGGCCATGTTTAGTCCATGTTCATTGTACTGAATAAATTATATAAAAATAAAGGTTTTTTTTAAAGGGTCATATTGGCAGATCAGCACTCAGTGTTTCAGTTTTTTCACAAAGTAACTAATGGCTCTCCAAACAAAATGACTGAGCCAGGTCCATTAATGGGCACTGCTTATTTAATTCTTAATTAGCAACCGGATATAAGCATAAGAAAGATTTCTTAAAAGAGAATTTTAAAACTTCAGTTATGCTTCTGTTAAGACCTTTCCACTTTTTCTAGTACATATCAAAGGGAAGACTAATAACCTGTCTTAGAACAGAAAAAAGTACAATTTATGTTTAAATTTTGCTTTTTTTCCTAAAAAAGATAAAATTACAATTGAACTTTTGAAAAAAAAATAAAAATGATGTTAAGAATGCTGCAATCATGCTAAGCAATGATTTTAAATGTTGCCGTTTTCTACTTACCTAGCCGATCTTGGGATACAGAGCATCAATCTACTTTCCTTCCAACAACACGGAATGTCTTCCTATCATTCATATTTGTGTTGAAACTATTGTTCTGTTCTAAAACTTAAACTTATTTTCTGGAATTACTAGAGCTCAAGGTTGGTCTCTAGGTATTACGCAGGCACATCTCGCTGGAGAAGTAGACGGGATGCTTGTACTTAAAATAATATTTGGTATTTGCTAAAGCATTTTCTACATGCTACTTGATTAATATACAATGCATGCTGCCATTGACCATGCAGCACAACTCAAGAAAAAAAGCAGCAAATTGCATCACACAACATTGTTGACAGTGTTCTAGTCTTATTTGGATGCTTGCCTTCAAGAACAGCCTTTTCCTTCATGAGGCGTCTTTTCTGTGGGCCTGCTCTCTTTACCTTTGAGTAACTACCTGGCAATAGAAACCTCTAATGCTGACAGTTTGTCTATTGGCAGTTGTTGCTTTCTGGGAAAACTTAATAGAAGTAGGCAACAAGAACTGGCTCGCCCTAAGTGGCTCATGATCACAGTTTCAGTGAAGAAAGTGTAGCTCACTGAGCTTGAAACTACTCTCTCTTTTCCATCAACTGTATTTAGTCTGTCTTAAAATATACTTTTGAGGAGGAAGATGGGAAATGGTGGGTTGGGAGGAAACAACCTATTTGCCTGTGGAAATGTTATTTTGGGCCACAGTTCAGTACAACTCTCATTCGTGCCATTTCTGTCCTTCAGCATGATGCTTCCTAAAACTAGCACTGTGTTTCTTTGAAAACAGCATTGAAAAAGACATGAAGAAATGTGATTCAGATCTTCTTGGAGATTATAGAGAGACTTAATTGAGCGCCTGAGGGAAAGCATTTGTGGAGCAATTTCACTGTGGGTTCATGTATGGGTGGTAGGAATGCAAATACTTATTATTGTGGGTTGGGTTTGCCATTCTTCCTTAAATGTTGTACATGTTTGCCAGTGGTAGAAATTTAATCAATGATTGTCTCTTGTGTGTTTGGTGGTGGACTTAGTGCAGCTTCAACTAAGCTTGAACACTTCAGTCTGATCCAATACTGTGGACTCAAGCATAAGGTCCCCACAGATTGTAGTGGTGTTTATTGCCAAGTATATATGCTTAGCACAGTATTCTTTGTGTGAGCTTAATCTATAGGCCCCTTGTTTGTCTGAACAGATGGATTTCTAAAAACTGTTCTAAGGATATTTGACCAGTTCTAATATACTTGTTTGGGTTGTAGTATTTGGATTTCTGATGGATTTATCCTCAATCCACCTTTCCTTTCCTTTCCTTTCCTTTCCTTTCCTTTCCTTTCCTTTCCTTTCCTTTCTTCATGCTGTGAACTAGAAGATAGCCTCTTAACACAATTGTATCACTAGTTAAACCCATAACTGCTTGGCCAATTACCAGAGAACCCTTTTGCAGATGCATGAATTTCACACGTGGTAGGGATATGAAATGTTCATAGCTAAACTCCTAGTTAGGATACAGTCCAGTCCAAGATAATTTCTTTTATGTCAGTCTTGTATAAAGTCTAATTTTGAATGCTTAGTTACTGGCACCAGTCAAAGGCATTCCAAATCTGACTGCCAATTTTCAAAACATTCCTGATACTTTGAATTCATGCCATGAATCCTGAATCATTCCCTATGCCAGGCTTCAGTATTATTCTGCCAAATATATCCGTCTTTCCATTTCTAATAAACCTGGATTTAAATTGTGGTCTAGAGGGTAAACAGAAGTTGAATCGATAAAGCAGGACCAGTTTGTAGATCACTATATTTGCAATGGGATGAACTTTTGTCCTTGCTACAAAATAGTTAAGAGAATTGACCAGTTTTGTAGTTTTCATGGAGAGAGCAGGTGTAGTATGAGTGCCTAAGCTGGAGAGGAGCAGAGGTCCAGCATCCATCCTGCTTAGGCAGAGCTTCAGAACTGTTCTGTCAGCTCCCTTTAATAGTTCATTGGAATAGTAGATCATAAATGTCCGCTTTCAGAGTGAAGCCTAGCATATTGGGATCGGAGCTTTGGGATGCACATTCCACCCCTGCCTTTCACTGGATACCAACTATATGTTGAGTACTGGAACTTTGCCCATGTGTTCTCTGGCTTATATGGGTCTTTTGGAAGAAAAACCTTGGGCAATAGAAGGAGCCATTTCTATATGTTTTGAGCAGAAGTCAAAGGCCCACTTACGCAATGGCACTTCCTTTCTGTGTCCTCTCCACTGGGCCTCAGAAATCTGCTCTGGAGGATTCTCCAGCTCTCCAGAACAGATCCTGAGGGCAATCCGGAGGCTGCTGGGGAGTGGAAATTGCAGTTCTAGCCATGGGAAATCTTAACAGTATTTCATCCCCTCCCCATGTGATTACAACTGTGCCTGTTTCTGTAGCCACAAACTTGAAACAAGCTTGCCAATTATTTTCCATTAGAAATAAAGGCCGTGTGATGACGGTATTATTTTTAAGAGAGCTGGTATATGAGATGCCAAGGTGATTTAAAAAAAAAAAGATATTGCACATGGTATTCTTAGCTGACATTTGGGAACTATTTTGGTAGAGGTAGATGGGAACCCTTTAAACAGCAAAGGTAATTTTAGTTACAATACAGAATGGAATGGAAAGACAGACTTGGATCACAGCCTGCCAAGCACTATGTGTATGTAATGCCTTTTTCTCTGTGTGGAACTTCAGTAATCATGGCAGATTGTGACTCTGACACTTGTCACATTGTATTAAATTATTCCCTGCTTTTTGAAGCACTGTTGAAATGGGAGTTTTTGCAAGGCTCAGTGAATAGACTTTGATCTTGGAGATTTCCCACTAGAAACCAGTTTTATATTCTTACTTCAGATTATCAAATAATAGATTATTAAGATTCAGAACTTTTTATTTCATCCAAACAAATTCCTACTTGTGTTTGATAATCTTAATTGGAGTGGGCATGAATGCTAATATATTGCCATTTTGTTCGCCATAGGAGTTTGTTTTCTTTTAAATACACATTTTAGAATAAGTAAACATTTTTCCTTAGTGTTTAAGTTGCTGTCTTTATTATGTACTGGAATGAATGCATGAGTTTCTTACATATTTATGTGTGTAAAATATGTCAATATACAATCTCTCAGCAATGTACTGGCATTAGTTATTGCAGGAATGTTTTTGTTCTTGTGTTATAAATATTATGTTCAAATACAATGCCTTTGTACAGTAAACCAGTGTAAGAAAATATGCCAAATGTGAGGTTTGTATTTCTGCCATATGGCAAAAGACCCACTGAAATGCCTATGTACAATGTATTTTTTCATGCAGTGCTCCCTTTCTATATGGACATTCTCTTTTCACTGGGTTTATAATGTCAATGCATCACCTATTTTTTAAATTTATGACAAGCATCATTATCTAAAACTTTAAAAGCCCAGACTTCCCTTTTGGAGATGCTGATGCGCACTTCCATTTTCAAGATCCAGGGTGCACTTTATAGTACATTGACTGCTGATGCATGTCACAGTTGGCAAAGCTTTTGAATGTTCCACATGTCTTAAAAGTGAATTGAGCACAGTTGTTCAAGTAGCACAGTTAAAATACACATAGATGTGTTTGGAGTAGTAGCAACAATGTTTGGCTTAACTTGACCAAAGTGGCACAGGTGCTTCCACTGTGTTCCTGTGAAGGAGGCAAGGAAGGAAATATTGTTGAGCCCTTGAGGACTTTCGGCCTTTTAAAGTTCACCAAACATCTTGCCTCCTGTCCTATCCTGTTTTGTACACATGGTCTGAACATCCCAAAAGCAATGTGGGGAGAAATGACAACAACAACTACTACTACATCTTCATCTCCTCCTCCTCCTCCAATAATAATAATAATATTATCACCATCAGTATTATTTCTGTCTTTAATATTTATATCCATATTTAAAATAATTCTTAAGCAACTTAGAGAATAGCATGCATTTAAAACACACACACACACACACACATATAAAAAGCATTAATAAAAACATTAAAACCACAATGCATAATTACAAACTGATGATGGCATAAGAACAACAACATTTATTTATTTATTTATTTATTTATTTATTTGGAATTTTTGTATGCCATCCCATTCGCATGAGCCTCGGGACGGCTTCCAACACAATAAATAAACAAGGATATAAACAATACATATCAAAATCCGGATTCACCCTGGCTGTAAAAATTAAAACCAATAAATAATAGTTATTAAAATATTGTTTCAATAAAAAGATCTTGGCCTGGTGCTGAAAAACAAATAACGATGGTGCCAGGCGGACCTCTCTGGGGAACACATTCCATAAGTGGGGCGCTACCGCAGAAAAAGCCCTCCTCTGGGTGCTCACCCTCCTAATATCTATCACAGAGGGTTCCTGGAGGAGGGCCTCTGCTGTCGATCTCAAGGGGCGGGAGGGCAAATATGGAAGCAGGCGTTCCTTTAGGTATCCAGGTCCCAAGCCATTAAGGGCTTTGTAGGTGATAACCAGCACCTTGAATTGAGCCCGGACTTCGATGGGGAGCCAGTGAAGCTGGTAGAGGACTGGGGTTATGTGAGAGTAATGCCCAGTCCCTGTCAACAACCTGGCCGCTCTATTTTGCACCATCTGAAGTATCCGGACTGTCTTCAAGGGAAGCCCCACGTAGAGCGCATTACAGAAGTCCAACTGGGAAGTAACCAATGTGTGCATCACTGTCACTAGACAATCGTCCTCCAGGTAGGGACGCAGCTGATGGATCAGCCGAAGCTGAAGGAAAGCGCTCCTCGCCACCACAGTCACTTGAGCTTTCAAAGACAGCTCTGAGTCAAGGAGCACACCCAAGCTGTGGACCCTGTCCTTTACAGGGAGTGCAACTCCATTCAGGACAAGGTCCAAGTCACCTACCCCGGAGCCCGAACCACCCACCAACAGGACCTCAGTCTTGTCTGGATTAAGCTTCAGTTTATTGGCCCTCATCCAGCCCATTACCTCGGCCAGGCACCGGTTCAGTACAGCCACTGCCTCACCTGGATTGGTGGAAAATGAGAGGTAGAGCTGGGTATCATCAGTGTACTGATGATTCTGCAGCCTACACCTCCTGATGACCTCTCCCAGCAGTTTCATGTAGATGTTGAATAGCAAGGGGGACAAAATGGATCCCTGTGGTACTCCATGGCTGAGTTGCCATGGCGCAGAGCCATAGTCCCCCAGCACCACCTTCTGGAATCGGCCATTGAGATAGGAGCGGAACCACTGCAAAGCAGTGCCTCCAACCCCCAATCCCGCTAGCTGATCCAGAAGGATACCATGGTCGATGGTATTGAAAGCCGCTGAGAGGTCCAGGAGGACCAACAGGGATGCACTCCCCCGTCTCTCTCCCTGCACAGGTCATCATATAGGGTGACCAAGGCAGATTCAGTACCATACCTGGGACTGAAGCTGGACTGAAATGGGTCCAGATAATCAGTCTTATCCAAGAGTGCTTGGAGTTGTCCCACCACCACCCGTTCTAACACCCTGCCCAGAAATGGGATGTTGGCCACCGGTCTATAATTGGTGGCCATTTCTGGATCCAGGGACGCCTTCTTTAGGACTGGCCGGACTACCGCCTCCTTCAGAGGGGCAGGTACCCGGCCGTCCCTCAGAGAGGCATTGATGGCCTCCAGGATCCAGGCACCAATCCCGTGTTTGGCTTTGTTCAGTAGCCACGACAGGCAAGGATCAAGTAAACAGGTGGTGGGATGTACTTGTCCAAGCACCTTGTCCACATCATCAGGCAGCAATAACTGAAACTCATCCAATAATATCCAATAATGTCTGACCAGACGGAGACATTGGCACCTCCCATAAGGGCTCTGATTCACTAGTGGAGTCCAGCTCGTGACGAATCTGAATGATTTTCTCCTTAAAATGCTTGGCTAAGTCATCACAGTGGGCTATCGAGGGTGGCATGGGATCTTTCTTATGGCCTGGATGTACCAGTCCCTCTACCACCCGAAAAAGCTCTACTTGATGGCATTGTGAGGCGGCAATGGAAGTGGAGAAGAATTTCTTCTTCGCCACCCTCACCGCCACAGCATAGGCTCGATAGTGAGCTCGCAAGTGTGTTCGGTCAGATTCATCCTGTGATTTCCTCCACCCACGCTCTAGACGTCTCCCAACCCACTTCATCGCCCGTAGTTCAGGTGTATACCAGGGGGATGAATGGACTCTGCTAGGAGGGAGAGGACGCTTAGGAGCGATCATGTCAATAGCTCTGGCCATTTCCCCATTCCACAGTTCAACCAGAGCATCAACAGGAGCGCCAGCCTTATCAACCGGAAACTCCCCCAGAGCCTTCAGGAATCCATCTGGATCCATCCGGCTCCGAGGGCAGACCAACACAATAGGATCTGCTCCCTTACAGAGGGAAAGGCCACCATCGAGCTCAAACCTCACGAGGAAGTGATCTGACCCTGGCAAGGGAGTCAGACACAGATTCCCCACCCTCAGGTCACCCTCTTCCTGCCCTGTCGAGAAAACCAGGTCCAGCATGTGTCCATGTTCATGGGTCAGGCCTATGACATGTTGAGACAGCCCCATGGCCATCATGGAGGCCATGAAGTCCTGAGCTGTCCCAGTCAGAACAGTCTCGGCATGGAGATTGAAGTCCCCCAGGACCAACATCCTGGGGGTCTTCAGCATCAGGTCCAAGACGATCTCCGTCAGCTCAGGCAGGGAGTCTGATGGGCAGAACGGTGCACGGTACACCAGCAGAATCCCCAGTCTGTCTCGGTCACCCAGCGCCAAATAGAGGCACTCTAGACCTGGCCTCGAGAGAACAGGAAGCCCTGTGAGGGAGATAGAAGCTCGATAGATTAAAGCGACCTCCCCTCCCCTCCCCTCCGGGCGTGGCCGGTGCTGGACCAGATACCCGGGCAGGCACAGTAAAGAGAGGGACACATCCCCCACCCCGTCCCCCGCCCAGGTCTCTGTTATGCAAGCCAGGTTGGCCCTCTCATCCACAATCAAGTCGTGGATGAGGGATGTTTTGTTGTGGACTGACCTGGCATTAAGCAGCAGCACCGTCAGGCCCGAGGGGCGGTTGATAAGCTTACCTGGAACCTTCCGGTTGGGAGGAAAACCAGAAGGGGGAACAGGTGTCAACCATCTGTCCCTCCTCCTCCTACGCCGACACGTTAAACCCCCAACGCCAGAACGACCATTGCCCAAGACCACCCCACTGGTAGCACCCACATGCTCCCCAGGCAACCTCATGGTAGCAGCCAGGTGTGAATCCGTTAAAAACCATCTAAGCTAAAATACAATTTAAAATGCAATAAAACCGTAAAACCCCACCACCCACCCAAATATAAAAACTCCACCGCACAAAGTCTATGGCCAACCCAGCCCCCGCATGGCCCCGAACAGCTCCAAATGGCGACAACGCCCTTAGGCCGTCGCCCTTCGGCCGCTGGCCCAAGGCTGCCGGTTACGGCTGGTGATTTAAAGCCGTGGCTCCTCCCCCGTGCCCTGCCCCCAGCCCGGCGCAGCTGCTACCCACGCTGGGGGGGGGGGGCAGGATCAGGGCACGCGGAGCACTCGCCGGCAGGGAGGAGGCCCCGCAGGCCAGCAATTATTTGATTTCCCCCTTTCCAACTTCCAAATAAAATGTTGGTGAAATCTGGTCTGTGTGCTGGTGACTGGTGGATAGTTCTGCTTTTTGGATAAGGGAATAGAATAGAAGATGCGTGGCCCCTTCCTTTTCCAAGGGTCCTCTGCACTTCCTAGGCAGAAACAGCGCGAATCATCATTCCATAATAACTGAGTGAGTGTGTGCTGCCACCTGATACGTTTGTAGCTCTTAGAACTCACACGAAGCCATCTTGATTATGCACCTGGTGCAGTCAGGAGCCAAGAGTCCATTAGAAGAGTCTTTGAAACATTAGCCCTGAATGCTGCATCTTATTAATCTTTCCCTGATGCAAAGTATATAGTAGTCATTCCCTCCTGCCGGGGCTCTACTTCCTGAATCAGTATGTTCACTGATTTACAGTTTAGCCAGGGAGGACAGCAGAGAATTGTTCAGCACTTCTCAGGTTCTGAGGTAGTATGGCAGAAAAGTATATAGAACAAGGTGGCAGTCGTGCTAAAGCAGCCAGTTGGCCTAACAGGCTCAAAAGCCACATGGCAACACTGTTTGCAGTTGTTACAAGTCATATTAATAAGCCTATTTCAGTGGCAAATTCAGATGTGAGGA